ATTTTCATTTGATGTGTTTATGATTGGTGAGAAGGTTGGTAGAGGAAGTGATATAGAATTGGTTTGTTCGAGAATTATAGTGTATTGCTTTAAGGAGGTTTTCATTTTTTATTGAATCATAGTCAGAAATTTTATTTTGCTTTATTATTATAAGAAATGATTTGAGGGTTGTTCGTTCGGTGCAATACTTTTATGGTAATTGTATCGAGTATGCAGTCGTTATCATTGCTATTGATTTATGTTATCAGTTTCATCACTCTTCTGCTATTTTTATTATTGATATTATTGTCATTATTATTATTGCTATTATTATTATTCTTGCTGTTATTATTATTATTGTTATTATTATTATTATTGTTATTTTGAAATTGTTTTCGACAAATTGATATAATTATCGAGAATAATCTTGCTAACTCTAATGGTGTTCACTTGCATTGTATAATTAATTTGAAACGGACGTTACTAATACGATATGTATCACTTCATTGTATATATGAATTTTTTGTTAAGTTGAATATGTTCATAATTGTTTCGCTACCTTATTTGTTAATATCACTTCATTAACTATTAATATTATCATCGAAACTTTCTTTCATTTCGAATAAATTCCATTTATACGATTGATTCAATTGACAGTTTATTAATTTGATTGGTTTCATGCAGAGAACTGCTTCAAACATCCAGCATCATTACATATTATTTGATATCCGTGTTTGAAATACGTGTAGGTGATGTGTAGAGTTAGATTTTAAAATGATTTATTATCAGTTCAATCGTTCGTTATCAATTATTATCCTGTTGTTTGCGGGTGGATCTTAATAGTGGGAAGTGCTTTCGTTTAGTTATAATATGGTAAAATCATACGAACTGTTGTATAATCATAATACGGTATTGTATACAGTATAAGATTGTTTAAAGTATCATATGAACATACAGTATCATATCATGTTTACAGTATCATATGAACTACCATATGAGATTGTTACAGCGTGGAGGTGCTTGCTATGTTTCAGTTACAATAGGGTATAATGTATAATCATGAGATTTTATTTGCTGCTTTTATTTTTTGCATTCTTTTTGTGATATCAAAGGAATGCATCTAAGTGAAGTATAAGTTGTTGTATAATGATGTTTTTGAGAAAAATCAAACGCAAACAATGTGGCCAGATAAAGTGGTATTTGTGATGAGTAGTGAGTGGATATAATGTGATGATAACACTGTTAGTGTGATAATGCTAATGATTAGAATAGGCATATCGCGATATATCGGCGTTTAACCCAAGATGATTCGTGTTGAAATCGCACACGCGACGTATGATGAAAATTGTTGGGAAATTTTTCGTTGTAGTATGAAGTTTTTTAGGTTTTAAGGAATTGAATGTGAGATAAATATCCAGCAAAATGATACATCTTCCACCACCACCACAACAACAACAACAACTGCAAGCACAAACGTCGTCGATGAAAGAGAGCGGAGGTAATCGTAAGCTTGGAGTGCATCGTCTGAAACGGGAGAGGTCAAGCGCCGATCGAGTGGTGGCCACTGTGATCGCGACTGGTTCGACGATGAATAGCTCAGCAGTGACGGGATCGTTACAGCAACCGGCTGGCACGGTTAGTGGAGTTGTTGTGAGTTGCCGTGTGAATGAATTGGTTTGGTAGCGAATTTGAATGGCACAAATGAAAATGGCATTTACTTGGATTACCTGGATTTGCCAGGCTATCAAACGTTTGTAACGTTGCTGGCCACGATGCTGGCTGGCGTTTTCATTCTGTCCTTGATCTTGATGTTGCTTTCCTTTACCAGGTGTTACCCAGTTTCTT